AATGAAATATAAAGTTATTAATGAAGAAAACCCATCTGGATAACAGCAGATTGACTGCAGATAAAATATACGACAGGTCTGTACGCACTCGTACGCACAACTTAAGAACAAATCTGTGCGTACGAACGGTTCTTGCATGAGGCCCAATGTTCTTCTATCACCCCAGTGAAACGAGGATGTTTGGAGTTAAATAAAGCTTTAGGAGGAACTGATTCATCTTTCTTTTTGCAGATAAAGTTCCTTCTTTAAGGCAGCTCAGCAGTAAGACTTCAGAACTGGAGATGCCTTTACTCCTGAATGACAGCAGTAAACGTGGAGATTCAGCTGAAGACGAGCGTGACGACGAAGACGAAGAGCAAGAAATCTTTCTGAAATGACCCGGTGTCTCTGAGAACTCCTTCGTTTCTCATTTGTCAGAAAGTTTCAACAATAACAGAGCAAGAGGCTGAAGGCTTTTGGTTTAAAATATCACCGTTTTGTAAAACAAATGGTGAATTTTCTGATAAATAATGAAACCAAAGAAGCCTCTGATTCAGGAAACCGATAGAAAAATATAAAACGAGAACTTTTCTTGAACTCGTCACATTCTTATATCTGTTAGAGACAGTTTTTGTTTTGTTTCACTGTGAATCATTAAAACCTAATGTTATTCATGTTTTAGGCTTAAATAATAACTCTGCTAGAAATAAATAAATAATCTGTGAGAGTGAGATAGCTTTAAAGAGACACGTCTTTGACTCCTCAGGTTGCAGAGGACTTTACTTCCCTTAATATGCAAAAAACACATTTTCTCACATAATTTAATATCTGAAATATTTTGTAAATTTATATTTAGGTTTCAGCCCGAGTGAGGCAGTGTGGAAATTGTAACGAGGATGTTTCTTTTAGGAAATGTGTGCCAAATGTACAACTTTATTTTTACATTTAATTCACATTTTCTTTGCGTACCTGCCTATCAAACTCATCAAATCTAATTTTTATGAATAAATTAACTCGTTAGGATGTCCTGAAGCCTTGTGGTTGAATCTAAAATCACTTTTTGTTCATCTTACAAAGTGCGTCAAAGTTTTGTTTAATTTATAAAAGAAATGACGTTTAGATGAACAGTCGGATCATGAAAATGTTCTTTTTCATTCCAACGTGATTTTTGTCATGTTTATCTGGAACATTCCAACTCAGCTCAATYCTTTAAACATTTCTTGACTGCAGTTTTTTTTTATCTTAATTCAAAGCACTATTAATGATCTTTCTGTGCCTTAATAGACTCCAAAGAGCTATTTTCATAATGTTGGTGATTTGTGTAAAATTAAAAGGTTTCTAAAATTTCAATTTTTTATGATTTAAAAAAAAACAATGTTGAAATTGTTTGAGAAATAAAGTAACACAAAAGAAAAACTCATTTTCTTTTTTTTTTATGAATTCGTCCTGCAGAAGACTTTTATAAAAGATAGTAATGTCTTATTTGTCTTTTGTTTACTTTGCATCTGACTCTTTAAAAAGAAAACAGCACATTAGGTTTCTTTATTTTCATCAAAACGGAGGAACATTTAGTCATTTAAAGGGTTAACATGATCCCAAGTCAGCTTCCTGTTGCGCACCTGGATGACGTAACTCAAACCACTTAGTTTTCTAAATCCTCAGTTATAAAAGATATAAATGCAATGTTTTATTTTCTAATAAGGCTTAGTGTGTTTGTTACATTTCTGTATAAAATGAACTAACTTCCTGTGGAGCGTTTGTGTGTTTGTGCAGGAAACATTCCTCAGAGAGCCACTCCCATGGAGCAGCAGGAGGAGGACCCCCTGCTTCAGATTTCAGCCCCTCAGACAGGAGCAGAGCTGCTTTCACAGTTCAGCAGAGCGTTTGTTGACATCCCCGCTCTGGAATGCCGTGTGGAGTCTGTCTGAGGGAATAACCTGCTCTCAGGTAGGTCAGATCACACCTGTACTGKAGCTGCTTCTGGCTTATTTGTATGCTGCACAGTTAAAATGTACAGAAAATCAGCCGTTTTCAACTGCTGGGTCGTGGGCCTTCACCTGGAAGGAAAACAGTGTCTGAATGGGAATAGCTAATAATAAGTGACTGAATTATATTGATAAATAAAAGCATTGAGATTTTTCATTTACTGAGAAAATGCAGTCAAAATTCTAGCTGAAAGATTTGTCCTGAAATCACGCCGAAGAAGCTGAAAACATTTAATAACACTAAATAAAACTGAGTTAAATTCAAACAACCGACTTCTGCTGAAAGTTGGAAAACAGAAGTACAGAAACAAGCTGAAGTTAGCAGACGGATGGTGAACGGACAGCAAAAAAAAAAAACCTTATGACTGAAAAACAAAAGTACAAAAAACTGCAATTTATAAAATAGCTTCAAGCAGCCAAAATTTGCAGAAAATTGCTAAAAAAAGTAGCTTAAATTAGCACAAAAAATAAGAAAGAGCATGTTTGCTGAATTAAGCAGGAAGAAGCTGAAATTATCAGAAAAAAGTGAATTTAGAAGAAAGAAGCTCAGATTAGCTGAAAATCGCTAAAGTAGCTAAAAGGCAGAAAACAGTCAAAACTAGTAGAAATATAAAAAGATGATGAAATTATGACTAAAAGATAAATTTAGATTAAAAAAACTTAATAGCTGAAGAGGCAAAAACAGCTGAAATGAGTAGAAATCAGCTAAAAATGAAAAAAAAAACTGCTGAAATTAGAAGTTAGCTAAAAAGGCAAAAAAATAAAAATAAAAATAGCTGAAATGATTAGAAATCAGCTAAAAGAAGCACAAAAAGCATTAGCAGAAAAATATGTTTAAATTAACAAAATAGTGGAAAGGAGCAGAAAGATAGCTAAAAGAGCAGAAAAAAACTAAAACTACCAAAAAAAAAAAAAGAAGGTGAAGGAAGCAGAAATTAGCACAAAAAAGTTGGGGGAGCAGAACCAGAGTAAAAGTTTCAAAGTGCAATAAAGATTTATAAACATTTTAAAGGGTTTTAATGACGTTGAAGAGAACTCCATTCATTTTCAATAAAAAAATAAAGTGGCCGGATGCACTAAACAGCTGAAAAAGTTGTTGAAAAATGTCAGAACTCATGACATAAATGAGCTGAATGTTTTGATATATGAACTGTTAAGATAGTACAAATATTGCGGAACGAGAAGAAAAATGTGCGATCTTAATAAACGAGAATAAATCTGGAATTTAAAATATTGAAGGTTGGCTTTTAACTGGGATTTTAATTTTAGTGAGAAAAAATATACTTGACTAAAACAAGCWGATTTTATTACTTTACAATGAGAGGTATCAAACTGTAAAACTAATAGCTGGACATGTAGAAACAGGTTGGCATTATTTTAGCTATTTAATAAACATTTACACTTTTTATTCAACTCTTCTGAGTCAGTTGATAAATATATGAAGATGTAACTTTAAAAAAGATGAATTTAATTGAACGTTTGTGTTTGTTTTCAGGCCCCACTCATGTCTGCTCATCTTCTTGCCTCACCTCCATCGTCCTGGCTGATGCTGCGTTTCCTGCTCAGTGTGGTCTTGCTGCTGTCCTCGGGGGTCCAAGGCCAGGGTAAAGCAGCTGAATGTCTCTTAAATTCACAGAGACCACTCTGCACTTCAGTCATTTTGATCCATTATTTTAATTGTGTTCTTCCTGCATCTTATTTGTCTGATTATTTTTACTGTATTTCCTTGTTGGAGTGATCGGTTCAGCGGCTGCTTAAACCCAACATAAAGTACAACATATGTCCAGTATTTTTCAGGATATCAACTCGTTTTTCTTTAAATAACTCATCAGAGCCTTTCTTATCCAGATAAAAACACTCCCCTGGTTTATGCCTGCAGAGCAGAATCAGCTGAGGATCCACAGACGTGATAAAAACAGTGTTCAAGTTCTGTTCTTGTTTCCGTTTCCCCCCCTCCCCTCGTCTTCCTCTTCATTTATTACACCCTCACATGTAACATTCAGTACCCTGTCACACTCTGAGTGATGCTCCTCTGACATGACCTTTGACCCTACCATCCTAAACTGGAGTCCTGTTCCTGTTTCTGCTCCGGCCCAGAGGACAGGCTCTGCTTTGATGGGTGGTGGTGGAGCGGGGGGCAGCAGCAGCTGGAGACATGGATGGAAGCTGGACAGAGAGACACATGAAAGACATCACTTGTTGAGAATCCCCTGCTGGAAATTATGCAGATGAAGCCAGAACAAAAGATGAATTAGTTTTATGGAAAAAGGAAAAGCGGGGGTTAGACCGCCCAGGAGAAGGGAAAAAAACTGATGTTTTATTTAGCAGTTGTGATATTTGAACCAAATAAGTGACACGGACTGTTTTAAATCCTAATTTTGCCTTTTCTTCTCTTCGTCGCCAACAAGGTCGTCTGAAGCTGACGGTTCTGTCTGAGGACAGGTTGCAGATGAAATGGAAGGAGGCTGACGGACCCGTTCAGGGCTACAAAGTCCGAGTCAGAACCACTTCTGGTAGGGATGTTTTCCTGGCTGTGCTGAAGTGATGTGACATGTAGGAGGTGGTGGGCAGACTGCACTGCTTCCAAAACCCAGAAGGCTTCTGCAGAACTTTACTGATGAGTCCAAATCGACTCTGAGACTCTGATACCTGAAGGTTTTTTAGGAATTTCAKTCCATGGGATGACACATCTTAGTACAAAATAAGAACTTTGACCAAAATATCCCTTCTGTCAAACTTTCTTTTGTATCTCAAACCATTCTTGGTACGTTCCTGCGCTGTGGCAGGGTGCATTATCCCAAATAAAAGGAACTAAAGAAGATACTGCCRTCAGGGAATATTGTGTTTTGCCACACCTCATGGTTCTTTGTGAGCTCCAGTCAATACGGCGCCAAAGCTGTGTTGGTATCCAGTTTTCTGTGCAGAATGGAGCCAAACTGAACAGCAGGAGAGCCACCATGGCCACCTGATTGGCCACCTTCTAATGACTGGGGATCGTATGTGGCATTTCAAAGTGGAGAGTTAGAGCACAGCTGTACCTGAACCTATCAGTGTAGAAAAAAAAAACAACTTATGAACCTCTGAATTAATATAAAACAACAATTATGTGTAATTTTTCTGGGTTTAAGAAACAATTAATAGAATTTGAGCAACAACTCACTAGTCAGTAACTTATAAATGACATGGAGCAACTAGTAAAAAGTTCCTTGACAAACTTTGACAGGTGGCTGCCCCTTTAAATTTACAATTTAACTGTACTATACAAATTTCTGCTCAATATGTGTAAAAATAGTTGAGTTATAACATTTTAATTTGCATTTGCACTCAGAAGTTTTGTACCAATAATCAGCTTTATGTGTCCAAAATTAGCTGAAAAAAATGCCCTTTTCTGAAATTAGCATTGGCTTTTAAACTTAAAATTCAGATTAGCTTTCAGAATGTCATGGTGATGCTCTTGGTTACCACCATTTCAAATTTCAGCTCAGTATTTCTCATGATGGCTGAGTTGTAGCTATTTGAAAATGTTTTGGTGGCCATCTTGGATTTCAAATTTTGATTTTGTTAATTTCTCAACTACGACACTAATTTTCAGCTGTTATGTTTAGAAATGGCTAAATTATAGCTCTTTGTAAAATTAGAATTAGCGTTAGCAGTTGGCTTAGTTGGGACTATCAAGCAGCGCGTGTTTGGGATCATTCTTAGCTACACCATTACAAATTTCAGCTCTATCTGYTAAAACAGCTGATTTATAACCAACTGAGTTTATCTGTGGTGGCCATCTTGAATTCTTGATTAGCATTTAGAATTTGGTAAATTGTTTTTGGCTACAGCTACACTAAATTTCAGCTTTGTTTGTCAAAAAATGGCTGAATTATAGCTCTTTGTAAGGTTGGGATTAGCAATCAGCATGTGTTTGGGMTCAWTCTTAGCTMCACCCTAACAAATTTCAGCTCARCAWGYCTTAAAGTGGCCSAATTATAAACATTTGAAGTTAACTGTGGTGCCCATCTTGAATTTTTGATTAGCATTTAGAATTTAGTAAAGTTTGTTTATGGCTACAGCTATGCTAAATATTCAGCTTTGTTTGTCAATAAATGGCTGAATTGGAGCCCTCAGCCTGTTTTTTTTTTTTTTTTGTTGGTTTGTTGGTTTTTAGATGTTATTTAGCTACGATAAGACAGAATTTCAGCTCAATATCTTTCAAAACAGTTTAATTTAACTGTGTTGGGCATCTTGAGTTTTTTATTAGCATTTAGAATTTGGTGAAGATTGTTTTTGGCTAGTGCTATGCTAAATTTGAGTTTGTCAAAATAACAGCTGAACATTAGCGGTTAGCTTAATATGGCACTACCATTCATCCTGTTTTGTTTTTTGTTTTAGCTACGATCAGACAAAATTTTAGCTCAATATCTCTTAAAACAGCTGATGTATAACTATTTGAAGTTAGCTGTGGTGGCCATTTTGAATTTTAAAATCCAGAGTTATTTGGCCACCCCTGTGGCCCCCCTTGCAAAGAGGTCTAGCTCCGCCCCTGCGGGTGAGATATACAAAAACATGGATGGTAAACTGGTCAAAAAGTAGACAAAACATGACAACAGACTCTTAAAATGACAGAGAAATGCAGCTTAATGTGTGATATAAATACTTAAACAATCTTTTTAATTTTTTCWGTAGAGGAGCTACAACCAGAGCTGATGCTGACCACCACCAGGGGCCGGGCCACAGTAGCAGGACTGGACTCCAGGCAGGAATACTCTCTCCAAGTCTTTGTGCTGAACGGGACCACAGAGAAACTTCTAGCAAAGAGAAGATTCACCAGTAAGAAACACCAGAAAACAAATGAGAGAAATCAAAATAAATTTTTCTGAAAACATAAAGAGCTTTGAAGCGAACCCCRTCATGTTTATTGGTTTTTCTGCTGATCTGTGAGATCTTTTGACGTTTTCTTGTCAGCCTCCGGGAGCACAGCACAGATGGTATAAAATGCAGAYGTAGCCTGCGGATTCTTGCAAAACATCAGAAAGACAGTAGGTTTTTGTGTTGAGTCGAACGTGTTCCGGCAGGTCAGGAAAAAAACCTTGACTTGGAAATTTGTAACAGCGACCGACGTGCTGGAATGATGGCGGTCTGGGAATTCCTTTGTGATTCGTCTTCTGCGTGTTCTTAACCTTCCCCCGGGGGCCTGCGCTTGCTCCGAGCTGCACCGTAGTGGGCCGTTATGTTAAGGCCGTTCTCACTTTTTCAACAGTTTTCCATCACTTTGTTGCTGTTTTTCTTACTTCTTMACTCGAGGCTATGAGTTTTCCACCTGGGGAAGAAGTTTAACGAGGTTGAAAACGGAACGTTGCCCCACCTTTGCTTCCAACTTGTCAACTCAGCATTAAGTTGATCTGTTAGCAGGCAGCTAATTAAAAAGAAAAGGCAGAGATGAGTTGCTCCTCTCACTCTCTGGCTGCAGGTGTTGTTATAAAATATTCTACAGCTCATTGCTGCGTTTGTCTTTCAGTGGAGGGTCTGCGAGAAGAGGAGATGATCCGCAGCGGTGGTCGTGAGAACAGGAAGAAGATGCCAGGTGGGTCGGGGTCAGGGGATCTGGATGATGTGACGGAGCCTCTGCTGGGTCCGCCAACAGTTCGGTTCCCGGACCCGACAACCACCATGGCTGCCGCTGTCGCCACCGCAGGTATTTCATGCTAGCAGTTAGCGATGCTACAAACATACTTACCTGTGGGAGGAGTTRTACTTTATACCATGGTTCTCCAGCTAACAGAGCAATCTTCTTCTATTAGAATAAGACCAGAAAGCCTGGAAAAAATAAAAACTGTATTGAAAGCCAAGAAAGAGGGTCTAAATGTGTTGAAATGTTTGAAATAACTTTGTCTCCTGCTTATCATAAAGTGAAATATTTGAAAACAGCACWTTTTTCCACACATAAACGCCTTCCTGTCATGTACAGCTTCACTTCGTTCCACAAACAATCCATCCTTATCTTAACCTAACCCCACCCGTGTGATTTCCAGAGCCCCCAGCGACAACAACCCCTTCTGAACTCCCTGATGAGACCCCAGAGAGACTCACCAAAGAGAAGAGGAGGAGGCAGAAAGAAAAGGAGCGAGGTGGTTCCACTGTGCAGATCAAAGAAGAGCAGGGGACCAAACAGGGTAAACTGACAATTTACTGTCCACTGTTAGAAAACTTGTGACATACATTTTGATACGAGCCTTTATCTTTATGAAATAAAGATTATTTCCTTTAAGCAGGAAGTTGTCAAACAACAAGAGATCTGCAGCTCCTTTTAGGAGCTTAAAAACGATGAAACTCGGGAGCAGTAAGTGCTGGGTTAGCGTGATGATAGTGTGCAGGTGAGGGGATAATGACAGGACCTCCTGTCCTGCTGCAGGGCACATGTGTCCTTATAACCTCAAAGCTCAGAGACCCTCACATGCATGAAAATGTTATAATTTCACAAAAGGATTAATATCTGTTTATGCTTTAATACCTCTATTTTACCTGTTTGGATACATGCAACATGGTGGTTTTAAAGAATTTCACACATATAGAAGAATGAATCAGTTTTTGTATTTTGTTTTGTGTTCAGGGATGTCTCAGAGGAAACCGTACGAGTGCGACAGCGATGCAGCTGCAGACATCGTGCTGCTGGTGGATGGTTCCTGGAGCATCGGACGCACCAAYTTCAGGCGGGTCAGAGACTTCTTGGAGGGTCTGATGACACCTTTCCACATCGGGCCAAACCACATTCAGATTGGTGAGGAAAAGCCACACAAAGTTTCAACGCCCCATTTTTAGGCAGAGTTACAGCCATGTTTATTTTCTATTGTCAATGTCAACTTTATTTATAAAGCACTTTAATATAGCAATCATAAAACAACCGATAAAAACACATTAAAATAAAACAATAAATTAAACAGACAAGACACATAGATTACAATGTCAGGCCTTGTGTAAATGCCAGAGAATAAAAAAATGAGTTTTAAGGAGGGATTTGAAGTTTTCCAGACTATGGGAAGATCTAATATTGAAGGGTAAGATGTTCCACAAATTAGGAGCAGTGACAGCAAATGCCCAGTTTCCTCTGCTTTTCAGGTTAGGTTCTGGGGGCAGTTTACTGTTAGACTGAAGTGTTCTAGAAGTTGATTAGTTGTGAAGAAGATCCTGGAGATAARCTGGGGCCAAGCCATTTGTAGCTTTAAAAACCATTAAAATTATTAAAAATTCAATCCAACAGGAAACTGGCAGGAAGACTGATAAAAAGAGGATATGGAACCAATAATTTTATAAGGTTTGCTAATAAGGCTCTTTCGTCCTAACATAACTTGAGTTTATTTTGATTCRAGTGAAGAAAAATTTGGTTCGTCTGTAATCTAACATCTGTTAGAGACTGCAGGGAATCGTYTTTATCATGTATATTTGTACATAGTCTGCAAAGCAGTGAAAAGAGATACTGAATTTCTTAAAAATTTGTCCAAGAGGCATCAAGTACAATATAAACAAAATAGGGCCTAACATTGAACCATGAGGGACTCCGTAATTTAGTCATCTTGAATTAGGTTGGGTCAAAAAGTTAATCAGCTTGTAGGAGAATCTGTCCACTTGATGATATATTTTGCTAACAGGACAGATAAATAAACACACAGAAAGGYAAAAGTTAGTCCAAGTCCAAATGCAGCCATTCAGCTAAAGAAAGTAGAAGGATTGAACACACAGAAAAAAAGAAAACACAGCAACACAATTTCTTCAATAAACAAACAAATACAAACCGTACTCTCCTCCAGGTCTGACCCAGTACAGTGGAGACCCCCGCACAGAGTGGCACCTCAACAAATTCACCACCAAAGACCAGCTGCTGGAGGCAGTCAGGAACTTCAGATACAAAGGAGGAAACACATTTACAGGTGCTTAAACAACACAAAGCTCAACACTTTRCAGAACCTGTGCGTTGGTGCGTAACCAGYCGGCCTTCTTTCAGGACATGCGCTGCTCCACGTCATGGAGGAAAACATGAAACCTGAGRCAGGCGCGAGACCCGAGGCGCCGTTTTTCTTGGTCCTGCTGACYGACGGGAAGTCTCAGGATGATGCGATCGCTGCAGCGAACCGGCTGAAGAAYGCAGGCGTTGAAATCATTGCTGTAGGTGAGACTGAAGGAGGTAGAGGAGAAAACCCACCATGGTGCGAGTGTTCAGAGCATTAAAGTGCCTGTGACATGCATATTCTTCAAATACAAAAAGTCAAAGAAAACATCTTTATATTTAAGAAAGTTGGAAYAATACACACGATTTAACACATTTTGTCCCATAACTGGTATATTTTCTTTTGAACTTGGCTCAGCCAAARTGAAACAGGAAGTGACATCAAAGGGGAWCTCTTTAACAAYGAAAACTCTCTGGTCTTTGTTTATTGAAACAATATTATTTGAACTCTGACTCTTCTTCATCTTCCTGATAGAGACTCAAAATAATCTTAAGAAACATCAGATTCKTCTCTACAGTCTGGATTGTTAGCTGTTGTAACAACATCACTTCCTGTTTCTTCACAGGCAAATATCTGAACAAATGTTCATCTCAGCAACATGAAATTAATTTTGCAATATTTTATCAATGTCCACTTTCTAAAAATGCATTCATATGTGTTACAAAAATTTGACATCACAGGCACTTTAATGTTACAACTTTATGTTTTACAGGTGTGAAGAACGCAGATGAGGCTGAGCTGAGGCAGGTGGCATCAGAACCAGTTGATCTTAACGTTTACAACGTGAATGACTTCCCCCTGCTCGCCAAACTGGTGGCTCGTCTGGTTCACATCCTGTGTAGAAGGATAAAAGACCGGGGCATCACAAAACGTAAACATCTAAACCTGYCATTCTCCCTAGTTTTGATAATCCCACTCCATGTTTTCAAGATGTGATTGGTTGTGTTTCCAGGGATGGAGCCTGGGCCCACGGCAGACCCAGTCCTCTCCTACCCGAGTCCGGCGGATCTCCGCTTCTCTGAACTTGGATCCAGGCAGGTGAAGCTGCACTGGACCAATCCATCGAAGCCAGTCCAGCAGTACAGAGTGGTGTACCACAGCGCTGACAGTCAGAGTCCCCAGGAGGTTAGAAACTCAACGTGTCATCTGCATACAGACAGATTTTATAGACTCATATGAACATAGCACGCAAATAAAACGCCGAAACAAAGCATTTTGGGTCGAAATAAGTTTTGAATGTTATGACAATGACATGTCTAAATGGTACAAATTAAAAAAACTCAAAGGTTGAAGGAATATATTTCAGTTAGAATCTAAATGATGCTCTGTCCTCAGGTGGTCTTATTAGGCTCAAAGTCCACCGTTCTGCTTGACGGCCTCTCGTCTCAAACGTTGTACCACGTCTCCATCTTCCCTGTGTACGATGATGTCGTGGGCCTGGCGCTCAGAGGAACCGTCACAACATGTGAGTGTCAYGTGACTGATAAATACCTTTTAGTTTCTTCTTTGCATAAAGAAGCTTAAAGAAGACTATTTTAACCCAAAAATCATCCGGAAATTATGGCCAATTTTTTTTCTAATGTACTACCATAATAAATGTAAATATATTCTCTTGTGTGAAATAAATTATTGTAATTTCTTCCTCTGCCCTTCCGTTGAAGAATATGCCACGCAAACAAAACATATAAACAATAGTCGTTTTTTATTTATACAGGAGTCGGAGGATGAAAAACTTTTTTTCTCTTTTTAACTGTGGAGATGGAAAGAAAAATGTTTGCTAATTTGGTGTTGCATTATACTTGAATCACATTATACGTGCATAAATACAATAAATTTTTGCTTTCAGTTAAACGAGACGTGTTTCCAGTGGGTTAAATAGATGTGATCTTCATCAGCCTAACAAATGAATGTACAGTAATGTATATATAATTTATTTTAACTCCTTCATCTTCCTTTCTCCTCGACTCTTTCAGTGCCGCTCACCATGCCAGCCAACTTGGAGGTGGTTCCTTCTTCTTACAGCACGCTGCGAGTGAGCTGGAGTCCAACCCCTGGTGCCACTCAGTACATGATCCTGTACTCGGCGCTCAACGACGGAGAGCCGGATGATGCAAAGGAGGTAAAAAAAAAAAAGGGTATTTCTATAATTTTAAAGAAATTAATTCCGAAAGAAACAAATGCAACTCAAACGTTAGCATTAGCTTAACGTTAGCATTATCTCAATGTTAGCATTATTTAAGTCACAAATTGCATTAATTTCAAAGTGTCAAATATTAATCAACAATTTTTCTAAAAATTAATTACGCGTGATACAATTTTGCCCAGTCCTAGATCGTACCTGGAAATATGGAGTGTTAGTGTTAGCATAGCATTAGCATTAGCTCTGTGCCGCATCATCTTATATAAATCACTATTTGCAGTAATTGCAAAGTGCTACATATTAATCATCAATAGTTTTTCTAACAAATAATTGCAAACTATCCAATTTTGCCCAACCCTAGCTGGTACCTGGAAATATGGAGCATTAGTGGTAGCTTAGTGTTAGCGTTAGCTCTGTGTTCGCATTAGCATTAGCTCTGTGCCACAACTTATATAAGTCAGTAATCGTAGTATTTGCAAAGTGCTAAATATTAGTGACAGTTTTTCTTACGATTAGTTGCACACTATACATTTGTTTTCCAACCCTAATTTAATGCAAAGCTGGTGTTGATGTGGCTATTAAAAAAGCATATTAACTTTTTTTATTCCTTTCCCCATGTCAATACATTATGAAAAAACAAATCAACATGACATTAATAAAGTAAAATGAGAGTGAATATTTAAATGATTTGTGAAAATGTATCTATATATTTTAACAGTTTAATTTTTTGAAGGAATGTAGTCATAATCAGTCACCTTTACCTGTCTGCTCACAGTCAGTTTTTATAACAGACTGATTTAAAAGTTTGTTACTACATGATTTATCTCTTGATGATTATGAGACGGATTAAAAAGCTCCCTGCTTCACTTTTATGTGTTTAAGGAGAGGTTCAGCGCTGATCGGACAACGTTGGAGCTGGCAGGGTTACTACCAGAAACAGACTACTCTGTCACTCTTTACGCTCTCTATGACGAGGAGCCCAGTGATCCAGTTACCTCTGTTGCCACCACCTGTAATCACCTTCATATTTTCCTTCTTGTAATCTGTTTTCCTGATTATTTATTTAGACACTTTGTTATATTTTGTCCTCCCTGTTCTTACAGTGGCTCTCCCAGCTCCTGTAAGTATTCAGTTCCCAGTGGTGACCCACAGTATGCTGAAGGTGAGCTGGGTCCCCGGCGCCGTGGACGTACCCAGCCACAGAATCACCTACAGCACCAACCACGGCAGCGACGTCAAGCAGGTAACAGCCCGAAAACTCAAAAACCTGCAGATAATTAAAATTTATGTTCAATTATTTTACAGGGTTTTTTTTGCACTAAAGGATGTCCATTGCTGTTTTTTAAATAACCCACTCAAACTACAGGACGGTTGTAGAAATTTCCCAATTGTTGTTGTTGTTGTTGTTGTTCTTCTTCTTCTTCTTCTTCTTCTTCTTCTTCTTCTTCTTCTTCTTCTTCTTCTTCTTCTTCTTCTT